CTCAAAGAATAAAAAATGAAAGAATGAACGTCCTGCAAAGAGTAAGAGAAAGGACATTTCAGATGCATTGAATATCCCTGAAGGTAGAAAGGTTAGTATAACTTTGACAAATGAGTGACGGGCAGAGATGATGATGGTGACGCAGTATTTGGGATGGGCTCAAACAGACGTTTACAGACCAGTGTGATATGATGGTCAGTTTTAATTGTCATCTGTGAAGCTGAGGGTTTATCTGTGGCTATTGTCATGACTGCCTTAATTGAGCTGGGAAGACCTAACCCACTATGGGCAGTTCCATTTCTTAGGGTTATACCCTGAACTGTTAAAGAGTAGAGAAATTGGATTTGTAAAGATATCTCAGTGGGCCAAGTGTTGGTGGCGCATGCCTTAAATCCCAGCACTCGGGAGGCAGAGGCAGGCAGATCTCTGTGAGTTCGAGGCCAGCCTGGTCTTCAGAGCGAGTGCCAGGATAGGCTCCAAAGCTACACAGAGAAACCCTGTCTCGAAAAACCAAAAAAAAAAAAAAAAAAAAAAAAAAAAAAAAAAAAAAAAAAAGATATCTCAGTGGCTAAGAACATTTATTGCTTTTTATGGAGGACCGGAGCTCAGTTCCTGTCATCTGTGTAGTAAATCACAAGTGCCTCTAACTCCAGTTCTTCCAGGCTCTCTTCCAGCCAACAACACCAGGAATGCATTGGTGCACATAAATTCATGAAGGCATTCATTTAAAAAGATGATAGATAGATAGATAGATAGATAGATAGATAGATAGATAGACAGATAGATAGATAGAATCTTAACAAAAAGTAGAGAATGAAGCTGAGTAGAAATGAGCATTTCTATAGTCATTCTTCTCTGCTCTTCCCTGTGGATGTAGCTAGATGCTTTAAGTTCCAGCCACTGAAGCATCCCTGCTATGATGGACTGTAACCTGGAATTATAAGCAGAATAAATAAATCCCTTTCTCCAGTAAGGTGGGTTTTGGGTTTTTTGTTTTGTTTTGTTTTTGGTCCAGGTATATTAGAAATGAAACTAGGATAGCTAGGTTAACACAGTTGTTTTTTGATTTTTCTTTCTTTTTTTTTTTTCAAGAGAGGGTTTCTCTGTGTATTCCTGGCTCTCCTGAAACTCACTATGTAGACCAGGCTTTACTCAAACTCAGTAATCTATCTACCTCTGCCTCCCAAATGCTGGGATTAAATGCGTTCACCCCCACTATTCCACATACAGTTTTAAAGTGTGATAGTAAGTCTGTGGAGAACTTTTTTCTAAGTGTCAAAATTAGGCTTATATTCTAAAAATGCCATTTTCTGCCTGAAATCAATCAACTGAGGTGGCTAAGTGAATGTGAAGAGACCAGTTACTGCAACAGGCCAGAGAACTTATTCTAGGGCCCACAGTATGATGATGGAAGAAGCGAAGACTGAGAAAAGAAGACAGATCTTTGAAATATTTTAGGTGCTTGACAAGCCCTATAACTTACTGCACTTACGGAAATACGGGAAAAGGAAGATCAAGGATGCCTTTGGGTTTGTGCAGCCAGTTAGAGATGATTATTGTGTCATAAAGAGCCAAGAGTAGAGGCATGGAGGGCAGCTAGGGTGCTTGAGAATAACTGGGTTTTTGTGTTTTTTTGTGGTTTTATGGGGATGAGACAGATTTCGCCATTAAAAGAAACAGCTTTTTCAGGTGCGTTAGTATCTAAATGCTCATTCAGCCTTCCAGTAGTCAGGCAGGCAAGTGCCTCAAAGATCTAGAATGAAAAGGGAAATGCCTGGGCTGAAGATAGATATCAGAAAGGTATTTATAGATTAGTGGGTCGTTAAAAAGTATTAACTGGATAAAGTAGGTCATCTGGGAAGGACTGTACATAGAAAGAGAAAGGCAGAGGAGAGGATAAGAGCTCTTTATCACCGGTAAGAAAACCCATTGTGAAAGGAAACTCAAACAGGAGACTACCACAAGAGCCCAGAGGAGTGTTTCATGAAGGAAGGGTAGGGCTGGGGATATGGTCTAGCAAGCCTGAGGCCCTAGGTTCAAACCCCAGCTTTGGGGGCAGTTGGTGTTCTATACCACAAACTATTCAAAGAGTGGGCCTTGAAAAAAAAACATTTTATTTAATTCTTAGGCATAAAAAACCCATTTCTGGGATCTGAAGTAGCAATGGAGAGACAAATAATCTGTCTTACCATCTTTTGGGGAGTTTTACAGAAAAAAAATGAGTAGTAGCAGAAGGGAGAAATAGAGTTAAGTAAGGAGTTTCAGAATTGGGGATTGGACTGCCAGAAAAATGGCTTGGTGGGTAAAAGTGTTTGCCACCAACTCTGATGACCTAAGTTTGATCTCTGGGACCTCTATGGTGAAAAAAAGAGGACTGACTTCCTAAAGTTGTCCTCTCCTGAGCACACACACACACACACACACACACACACACACACACACACATTACTAACAGCATATGGAAGCTCTGGACTCAATGGGCAACTTCTCTTCATCGAAATTGGGTAAGATCCCAATAGGAGTGAATACAAAAGAAAATGAGTGACTATGATCCTGGCACTTAGGAAACAGGAGCACAGGGGTCCCAAGTTCAATACCAGCCTAGGGCTACATAGTTCAAATCCTTGGCTTTAATTCTTAGGACAAAAACAAAAGGGATGGAGATGGCAAAATGTAAGGACTTCTGAAAAGAATTTTGTTTTTATTTTATATGCACGAGTGCTTGCCTGCATGTATATCTGTACACCTTGTGCTTGCCTGGTGCCCAAGAAGTCAGAAGAGGATGCTGGGTCTCCTGGAATTGTAGTTACAGATGGATAGGAGACAGCAAAGTGTATTGGGAATCAAGCCCCATCCTCAGAAAGAGTAACAATTCCTCAGGGCCACCTCTCTCATTTTTTTTTTTCCGAGACAGGGTTTCTCTATGTAGCTTTGGAGCCTGTCCTGGCACTGGCTCTGGAGACTAGGCTGGCCTGGAACTCCAGAGTGCTTGGATTAAAGGCATGGGCCACCAAAGCCCGGCTTCTCTCATTTTTTTAAAATGGGAAAGAATGGTCATTAAAAGAAAGAGACTAGTTTGATGGTAAATAACTTCTGAACACACTCAGTTTTGTGAAATATAAGGAAAACCTTGGTTAAAAGTGTGAGTGATTTGAGCTTCAATAGAATGGCCCTCAAGAAAAATGGTACACTTTACAAAGAAACAATGCAATTCAGGGACACTAGTTAAGTTATCCTGTCTCAAATTAACAGTGTTTTATCTTGCCAAGATTCTTGGCACTTTAGTTTACTTAAGTTGGGAAAAAGCATAATAGTAATTGAAAAAGCAACTAATTATAAGTAATTGTAAGTCAAATTATATTTATACCACAATTAGTGTTTGAGGTGGTTTAGTAGGCAGTCTTTGTTTCAATAAGCAACCATCAAATAATTGAATAGCTTGTAAAACACAGAAATATTCCTTTAATCTTTATTCCAAGTATAACCACATGTTCCTTGAATTACTATTATAACAAATGACATTTATCATATTTTGTCCTAATCCCCAGTTTGAGTTAGATGTTTTTAAAAACATGGCAAAAGAAGTGTATGTACCCACCTCACCACACAGCTTCTTAACAAATTTCACGGAGACATGTGAACCCATGCTATTGTAAGAGAAGAGCTAGCCTTCAGGGTAAGGTTTTGCTGTGGCATTTTCTCTAAGGACAATAGGTTAAGATCACTTTGTCTTTCCATGATAGTTTTTGTTTTTGGAGACAGGGTTTCTCTGTATTGCTTTGGGGGTTGTCCAGGAACTAGCTCTTGTTGACCAGGCTGGCCTCGAACTCACAGAGATCCGCCTGCCTCTGCCTCCCGAGTGCTGGGATTAAAGGCATGCACTTCTTAGGCATTTGAGACAGCATTTGTAAATTTGTCGGGTGGTGGTGGGCATTGAAATACTTTGGATCAGTTTCTCTCTTTAAGAAGAGTCAAAGAAAGCCTTTAATCCCAGCACTCGGGAGGCAGAGGCAGGTGGATCTCAGTGAGTTCGAGGCCAGCCTGGTCTCCAGAGCGAGTGCCAGGATAGGCTCTAAAGCTACACAGAGAAACCCTGTCTCGAAAAACCAAAAAAGAAAAAAAGTAGTCAAAGAAAAATACTATCAAATAACCCCGTGGTACACTTAATAAAGCTAGTTCCTGGAAAGTTTTGCAAACTAAGTCTCCACCAGTTGACCTAATGGATCACGGGTTGATAAAGGTGGTTGGCGCCTGCATTCGGCCAACTCCTAAACTAGGCGAGGCTCTCACGGTGGGTGGGAGGTAGGTAGCGCCGGAGCCCTCCAAGCCTGGGCGCCACGTTGCTCTTCTCTTTTGAAATAGGAAGACAACGCTTCTGGCTATTGTGTAAACCCGGCGAGAGCTGCATTCATTCCCACATCAGATAAAGCATGAGGCGAATTAAAGCGCATTCCAATCCGACCCTGGGCAACGCGTACGTCACTGACAAACGCTGAGTTTCATTGCCTTGGCTGCGTTCGTCTCGAGGAAACACAAGAAAGAATGGTTAAAAAAAAAGAGAGACAGACAAAACCAAAGCCCTCGGCTGAAGCGGGGAACTCCATCCGTAGGATCAAAGCCATCACGCCATCCCAGCCGCGGCCCACGCCCCCGCCGAGCCCCACAGACACCCCTCAAGACTCTCTCGAGGTCTCCGCTAGCCAGCTGTATGCAGCGTGGGGCAGCCTGGTCTAACCCCCGCTCTCCCCACCAGCTCCTCAAGCAGCTCCAGCTTCTCAAGTCCCCAGTCGGACAACAGCGCGGTCTCCCGCTCAGGGACAGCGGCAGCTCCATGTCTGCAACCGAGCTGGCAGACCCCTGCACTCCCAGCAGGCCCGCCGCCAGCCAGCCGGCGCTCGGCGACGTTTGACTGACAGGAAGCTGCCCCTATGAGCCCCGAGGGCGGGGCGATTGCGTCACTTCCTGGCCTGCCGGGGAGGATGCCTTATATAAGGTGTGCGCTCACGCAGAGCCCTCGCTTACACAGTATGGCCGGCGACATTAGCTAGCGCTCGCTCAACTCTCTCTAACGGGAAAGCAGCGGACTACAAGAGACTGAACTGTATCTGCCTCTATTTCCAACAGACTCACGTTCAACTTTCGCTCAGAAAAATAGCCGGGAAAATTTTATTAGTCCTTTTTTTAAAAAAAAGTTAATATAAAATCATAGCAAAAAAAAAAAAAAGGAACCTTAACTGAAGAACAC